CTACTTCAGCTGACTGCACTTCTGCAGTTCGGCTGTTCAAATCTCACCGGCTCAGGGTTGACTCAGCCTTCCATCCTTCCGAGGTGGGTAAAATCACCCGGATTGTTGGGGGCAATATGCTGACTCTGTAAACCGCTTAGAGAGGGCTGAAAGCCCTATGAAGCGGTATATAAGTCTACTGCTATTGTGTGTCATTTTCATTAATACAAATTTATTAATAATTTCTAACTCCTATATCTTATTCATTTAATCCTTAACCTTATAGCAATAGCAATAGCAGTTAGACTTATATACCGCTTCATAGGGCTTTCAGCCCTCTCTAAGCGGTTTACAGAGTCAGCATATTGCCCCCAACAATCCGGGTCATTTCACCCACCTCGGAAGGATGGAAGGCTGAGTCAACCCTGAGCCGGTGAGATTTGAACAGCCGAACTGCAGAAGTGCAGTCAGCTGAAGTAGCCTGCAGTGCTGCATTTAACCACTGCGCCACCTCGGCTCTTCACCTATCCTCTAACTATCCTCTAACTATTTATACCAATCCTCTTTACACCTATCCTCTAACTATTTATACCAATCATTTCATATCGTATAATAATCTGTTCCTCCTTTGTGAGTCTTATGTGAGGGATTTTGTTTAATAACAGTTACTTCTATAAAACTGAAGAACATTCAATTTGTTATTTGTAATTTAAAACTGGGATCAAATCTGGTTGCCACCCAAACAAAGAACATTTCCAATGCGACCCCCCCCCCCCAATAAGCCCATTTGCATCTGGGGACATTAAAGATCTTTGTGGAATTGCTTAAAAAAAAGGCAGTGGCTTTACAAAGTGAAAATCATGACTATTTGAACAAGAAATGCAAATTCTGGATGAGAAAAAAATACTTCAGCAAGAGAATAAATGGAGGATTTTTAAATCAGTGGAAATTCAAAACTTTTAAGAGCCCATTTTTATTGAAAACATCTTCAATTCATAAAGATTACTTTTAGTAGGTAAACAAACAGACTATCAGATGGAAAGAATTATTTTTATGGCCCAACCCAAAATTAACCTAATTTTAGACAAAAATGTACTGATAACATTTTGGGGTTCCAATTTGATTGAGATGGGAGTTGCTGGAGTTTTTAATTCACTTCTGAATCAGTGGTGGGTTCCTACTGGTTTGGATTGGTTTGGCTGAATCGATAATGGTATGCTGGCCTGAGTCGCGGAACTGGCAGCGACCCAGGTCAGCCACATCCCCGAACTGGTTCCTCGGTCACCGCTGTCCTCATCTCTTTTTTTGAGAAGTGCGCACACGAGCGAACCAGCAGTAATGCCAGCCAGAACTCACCCCTGTTCTAGATCCATATTGGATCAGAACTTTTTTTTTTAAAGACCACCCCTCCCAATGGAGACACAATCTGCACTTTTGGCTCAGGCAGGAGATCCTAGTTTCACCCGAATGTGGATCCTTTTATGAGAAGTAAGATGACCATTGTGAGCAAAGCTCTTTCCACATTCTGTGCATTTATATGGCTTCTCCCCTGTGGATCATCCAATAGGAAATAAAATTACGTTTTTGACTAAAGGTTTTTTTTTCACTCCATGCATTTATATAGCTTCTCCCCCCATGTGGATCTTTTTGTGGCTTCCAAGGCCACTGTTCTGAGTAAATGTCTTTCCACACTCCATGCATTTATACGGCCTCTCCCCTGTGTGGATCATCTTATGGGAAATAAGATGACTTCTTTGAGCAAAGTTCTTTCCACACTCCATGCATTTAAATGGTTTCAATCCTTTGTGGAGCTTTTTGTGTATAGTAAGTCCACCACTATAAGCAAAGGTCTTTCCACACTCCATGCATTTATATGGTTTCTCCCCTGTGTGGATCATCTTATGGGAAATAAGATGACCTATTTGAGCAAAGATCTTTCCACAATCCATACATTTAAATGGTTTCTCTCCTGTGTGGAGCCTTTTGTGGCTTCTAAGTCCACTGCTCTGTGTAAACGTCTTTCCACACTCCATGCATTTATATGGCTTCTCCCCTGTGTGGATCATCTTATGGGAGATAAGATGACCACTTTGAGCAAAAGTCTTTCCACACTCCATACATTTATATGGCTTTTCTCCTGAATGGATCATCTTATGAGAAATAAGTGTACTGCTACGAGCAAAGGACTTTCCACATTCCATGCATTTAAATGATTTCTCTCCTGTGTGGAGGTTCTTGTGTATACTAAGTCCACTACTATAAGCAAAGGTCTTTCCACACTCCATGCATTTATATGGTTTCTCCCCTGTGTGGATCATGTTATGGGAAGTAAGTGTACTGCTGCGAGCAAAGGACTTTCCACACTCCATGCATTTATATGGCTTCTCCCCTTTGTGGCTCCTTTTATGGGAAATAAGATTACATATTTGACCAAATGTCTTTCCACATTCTGTGCATTTATATGGTTTCTCTCCTGAGTGGATCTTTTTGTGGCTTCTAAGTCCACTGCCATGAGTAAATGTCTTTCCACACTCCATGCATTTATATGGCTTCTCCCCTGTGTGGATCCTTATATGGATAGTAAGTTCCTTTTTTGTTCTGAAACATTTACCACATTCTAAACATTTATAAGGCTTCTCTTTTGTGTCAATAGCTTTTTGAGATGTAAGATTTGAGAATCTATTTCCAAGAGAAAGAATGAATGTCCCATTGTAATTTTGTCCCTTGTGTCTTCTTATAGCATCGTCTCCTTTGTTTTGGGTTAAATAGTGTTCATTTACTTTAGGTTTGATTAGCTTCACACTTTTTCCAGTATATTTTTTCCTTATTTTCTCTTGTTGGGCAAGAAAATTTTGCATCGGAACATCAGTGGAAGATGAGCTTTTCTGACTCCAATTCTTTGACTCGTTTCTCTCATGGCTTTCAAATTCCATTCGAATTCCAAACTTCCCCGTTCCATCTTTAGCACTGATCACTTGGAACAGTTCACAGGAATCTTGATTCTCCTGCCCGTTGTCACCTTCAAAGCAAAAGAGAGATGAAAATGATAACAAGGTTAGAGAAAAAGAGCAAAGTGTAGAAAGTCAAGTGAATGCCTTTCTGAATTTCTCAGAAATTCCACTAGGTTGCATGTTTGCATGTTCACAGGGGTGTGATACAGACATGATGATTTCTATATTTATGAGTCATGAAAGCCTTGAAAACATCTCTTTGT